TTTTTTTTTTTTTTTTAAAAAAGGCAAGGTAAATTTTATTAAGAAACCTGAAAGAGAGCATACTGTCAGAATTGTTAGAAGTAGTTAACAGGGGTAATATTGTCACTTTCATGTTATTCTTTCTCTTTTATATCTGCTGTAATTTTTCTAAGGGTATTGTAGTCATTTTAGCCTTAATAGAATGTTAATACAACCTGGGTTGACAGTAAGGAGAATAGAACAGATTTCTCCTTTCTTGTCTTCCCTCTTTTCTTCTCCTATTCTTCTCTTTCCCTTCCCTTTCTCTTCCTATCTTCTTCTCTTTCTTTCTTCTATCATTTTCTTCACTTCTTCCTCACTTTATTAAAGTTGGAACATGGTATCAGAGCCTTGAGGTCGAATGTACTGTTCGCGGCACAGTTCACGTTCCAACTTTTTGTGCCCTAAGAATAGAGAATATTCTCTATTCTTTGTTGGAAAGGAAAGGGACTTAAGAGGACTGATCGCCCACTTGGAAAAGAGGCTTTAATTCCTCAAGTTGCAATGTTGTGTGAGTTGGTGGTGTTTTTCTAAAAGTCCTCTATTCAGAAGTTCGAAGAGGGCAGCTTTGTGATGTTTTGAGTTGTGAGGTAGGTTCTCCTCAATGTGTGGTGATTTTGTAGTGGTTTGTGTTGTGGTGACACCTTTTGGTAACCTTTTGGTAAGTATGCAATCTTTCCCAAGGGTGTCTAAAGTAGAGGGCTGATGATTCTTGGTGTTTTTCCTAAAGAAAAAGTAGTTGTAGTAGTTGCATACTAGCTGTTTGACAGTTTGCCTAAGTGACAAATCAGTGATCTCCTCTCACTCATGGCTTCATCAAATGGTAGCACTAAACCTACAGTAGTTGTGCAATCAGATTTCATGACTTTTCAATTAACTACGCCGAAACTCAATGGTACTTGTGAGGATTATTTAATTGTTATTTTACAGTAGCTGTTAGTGTGCTGTCAACTTAAGATGCTGTCAACCAGTTAGTTTCTTTCTTTCTTATTAGCTTGTTACTAGGGAGTGCCACCAGGGGCATACTTGTAATTTCTCATTCCTTTATATTAAGTTAATGTAAATAAACAAACTGGCTGCCGCCAGCTATAGTTTGAAACTCTCAATCGTATCTTCCTCTTCTCCTCTCTTCTCCCTTCTCTTCTCTCTCTCTCTCCATGAATGATTACATGGTATCAGAGCATCATTCTGGGCTATAAAAAAAGCTGTTTCTCTCATCTGAACCAAGCCTCATTCTGGGCTATTCTCAGTTCCTTTTTTTTCTCTGATTTGTTGGACATGGAAGACAGAGAAACCTAACTGGACTGGTCAGCCACTTGCGGCTGCTTCCTTTGGGTTCTTCCTTGGTTATAACACCAAGGAAACCCTAGCAGAAGAAGGGTGATGCAGTAAAGACTCCCTTCTCTTTGTTTGATGCTGTGAAAATTAACTTCTGGGTTTGCACCTTCATACGGGTGCTGGACAGGGTATGTGTTCTTGTGTTTTTTCTGTGGCCAATGGTGTGAAGGCCTTATTTTTTGGTTTTACACCTTTGTTTAGATGCTGGACTGTTAGTAAGCATGTTCTGTAGTCGAACTGCTAGTATACTATTCTAACGACTGGTTGCTGGACTGATTACTGGGTGGTTTTAATGGCTGAACCATTACTAGGTTGATTTTAGCAGTTTTTTTTTCTCATTCCAGAAGTAAATTTCTTGGGGGTTTAAGTATTCTGATTGTGGCTGTTGTGTAGTTGTGTGGTATTTGGTCTAGTACACTTGTGATTCTGGTTCTTGTAGTGTAGACTCTCTCCCTCAATGGCAAACTATGGTTCAGTTTCATCGGGGTTACACCAATCCGTAGCACAGCTGGTATGGGAGGTGAAAACATGATGTTTCCCATGCCCATTACTCCTTTAAATGGTCTAAACTACTTTGGAGTGGGCTAAAAGTGTAAAACTTTATGTAACAACAAAGGGAAAAGTTGGTTACATAAATGGAAGAGTGAAAGAACCCAAGAGTGAGATAGCTGAACATGATAGGTGTGACCAAGAAAATAGTATGGTGATTTCTTGGCTCCTTGCAGCCATGGAACTTGATGTGAAGAAGAACTTTATGTGGGCAGACACCACTAGTGAGATTTGGGAGCAGGCCAAAACCACCTATTTTGAGCAAAGGCATTATGCCAAGATTTACCAGTTGCAAGCTGAATCCTCAACTTGTAAATAGGGGAATCGTAGTTTGTCTGCCTATTATTCAGCCTTTACTTCAGTGTGGAAAGAATTGGATCACTATCAGGCTATAGAATGGAAACATGATGATGATGATGCTAAGGCCTGTAAGAAGCTGGTTTCTCAGCAGCGGGTTTTTGCATTCTTGTTGGGTCTAAACCCTGCTTATGAACCCTTGAGAGTTCAGATCTTAGGAAGTAAAGAGTTGCCTTCGGTTCAAGAGGTGTATGCCCTCGTTCAATCTGAGGAAAGTAGGCAGAGTGTGATGATTACAACTGAGGGGGAGCAACAGGTAGCATTGGCTGCAATAGGTAGTGTTAAAATAATTTAGTTGTTGATGTTAGGGTCTGTTTGGCTAGTTAACGTGTTTCTTTTATTTCGTTTTTTCCTTTCTGTTATGGCTGTTATTGTACTCAAGGGCACAAGGGTCTTTTCCCTTGTTATTTCTGCCACCCTATATATATTAAAATAAAGGCTGGCGCCGCCAGCACTGTTACATTGCAAAACCCTTCTCTCTTCTCTTCTCCTCTTCTCTTCTCCTCTTCTCTTCTCTTCTCTTTCTCTTATTTCTGGCCAGCCATACTGTCAAGATAGTATCAGAGCGGGAATACTGATTAAAGAGAGCAGATCGAACAACCTTTACTGAGAGAACAGATCGAACAGACTTGCTGAACCTGGGCGGAGCAGAAATCTGAACCTGGACTGAAAAAACAGCTCTACAACTGGTACAGTTCTCCCGTTTTCTTTTCTTTACCCTCCTTGGTCATGTACCAAGTGAAAACCATATGAATCTGGGTGGCTGAATGCTGTCGAATTTGTATACCCCTGTTTTTCTTGGATCGTGTGATCCTGTTCATATGTTAAGACAACTGTAGGTCAAGGATGGCCTATCATCTCAATGATTCGATTGTATTATAAGTGATAAGGATCTCTCCTTCCGATTAATGGCTGTTAGACATTCTGGAATTCTRGTAGGTTGGGACTGTTAAAACTGTACAGGTCTGAAATCTGCCGAATACTACCTCTGTTTTGTCCTGGATTTGGTACTGTTTGTGCTCAACCTGGTTTTTTAA